TTACAACAATTCCGCCCCCTTGATAAACGACCAATCACTTTCACTTCATTCACTCATGTAAAGTCGTGCACCATTCGGGAGAATTCAGAAAAGCAGCGGTTGGAACAGCCCTTTCCCTACGACTTCAAGAAGAGCCGCACATATTCTGCCAAAATGATACCAGAGGCTAGTGGATAACTACAAAAACAGTGATTTCAATGTGTAACTTGTAATGGGACATTTCAACAAATATCAGCAGGGATGTAAGTTCACCTAGCCTGTATGTGTGATCAGAGAAAATCCAATTTAGTCTCCTACCATCTGCACCTGTTTGTTTTTTTTTCAATTCTAAGACACTGACCAACAGCAGGATGGACAGACATGAAGAATTGAGACAGCATGGTCCTTTGTTTCCCATGACAATAGGCAACTGTCAGTCTCTGGGATGGGCTGATCTGTTTCATTTCAGCTAAGAGCTGAAGACATGAAGAAGCACATAGAATACAAAGTGTCAAATATTAGAAGACATTATTATTGTACTAACTTTGTATCATTATCACTAGTGTAGTTTATGATGATTCTTCCTGCACAAACATTTTCTCTTGGAGGGTAAAACCCTTACAGAACCAATGCAGACTGAAAATATCATTTTTCCTCAGTCACTTAAAAGATTTAAGTCCCAACTTGGTGTTTACTAAGCAAGGCTTTTGATCAAAATCAAGACACTGAACTAATAACTAGGAAAGACATTAGCCTGAAGCATAAACAACATTGGTTATTCTTAGAAACTTGAATGTATTACAGCTCATAACATCTAGGGCAATTAGATCATTGAAATGGATTCTGTGCTTTTAGGGTAAAAATGTGCAAATGGTTGCCAAAGTGGCTGAATATATTTTACAAAATCGAAAGGTGTTGCTTAATTAATGTCGTTGTATTGGGGTATGCACTGCAGAAATGCATTATGAACTTTTTGAACTCTGAAAGATGAACATAACTTTAAAGCTGGTATTAATGCAACCATGATGAAAGTTATGGAACCAAGTGAGACAGACAGATATTGTCCCCTGGTTGTTGGGGATGTTCTCTGGGATGGTGGGTAGCTGGGACCATTAGGCAGCTGTTCAGGACTTAGTACAGTAGATCTATTCTCTAACATCCCACCCAAAGAGCCATTACTCATTACTCACGCCTCTCTCATTCCTACTCTGCCACTCTTTCTTTTTCTCTCCCTGGCCCCCGCTGGTAATGTCACCCAGAGGAAACATGCCAATAAAAGAAAGAAACACTTTGCAGGAGAAAATGAGCATCTAGAGAATGTGCCTCAGTGAAAAACGGTGAGAGGGCAAAAGGCTGGGAAAATCAAACACACACACAACCTCGCACAGACAGAGGAGTCTGCATATTCCTCAAATTTGATTTAAAAGACAAATTGAGAGAGTCAACTGGACGCATTTGACGAGAATGAAAAAGAAAGGCCTCCAGCGCAGTATTTAGTCACAATCACTTTAGAAAACACAGTGAAACAGGAGCCAAAAACAGTAGATCTGTGAACTGTCAGCTTCCTGGTCCACTACAGGGTTCATTACACAAAAAGCTTCTAAGGCAAAGGTTGTATTTTAGATCAAGAAAAAAGAGGCATTAGCTTAATCTCTTTTTTTCTCTTCAGTAAGTGTACAGCAGAGTTCAACTAATATTAATGATTAGAAAGAATAGTTTCAATAAAATCTATAGAAAATTATTTAGATAAATCAATGATAGTTAAATATTTGGTCATATATACCTTTTAAATGTGTATTTAAACCCATTAATTATGAATTACTTTTATTTACATGTTATAAGTCAACTATTATTTTTAACTAAGGTTAACTAAGTTTAATGTAAACTCACTGACAGAATTTGAAAATTGTAGAGAGCTTGATCATTTAATCAAACTTCCAAGGGGAAATATTCACATTTTTATGTATAAAATAGTTGATGGAATAAACATCTTAAACAAAATTCTACTTTTTGTTTTCAGGTGGGATAAATAACCAAAGAAGAATTTCATTGTATTGAAAAAAAATATGAAAAAGATTGGACATTATATTTACAAAACTAGAATGCTTGATTGAGATCTAAGGAGTTCTAATAATAACATATAAAAACACCTAAAATGTATTTTCATAGTTGAGCAAAGTTGTTGTTTTGCTGAATGGTTGGTATAAAAAGGCAAATACATCTATATATATATATATCTCTTTATCTAGGGCTGCTCAGTGGCGCAGTGGTTAGCACTGCTGCCTTGCAGCACGAAGGTTCTGGGTTCAATTCCTGGCCCAGAGTCTTTCAGCATGGAGTTTGCATGTTCTCCCTAGGCATCCGGGTACTCCGGCTTCCTCCCACGGTCCAAAAACATGACTGTTAGGTTAATTGGCTTCTCTAAAATGTCCTTAGGTGTGTGTGTATGGTTGACAGGGTACACCTGTCCAGGGTGTACCCTGCCTCTCGCCCATTGACTGCTGGAGATAGGCACCAGCACCCCTCGCGACCCCAATTGGGACAAGCGTGTAAGATAATGGCAGTGGCACGGGAAGGGGGGTGCTGTGGGGGCTGCAGCCTCCCTCGTCATAGCATCAGCCCCCCATGGTGGGGGGCTGTGGAGTCACATAATATTGTACTTAAAAACATGAAATTATTTATGTATTTATTTTTTAAAAGACTGTGTTTGATATGGGATTAAAATGATGGGCTGTGTATACGATGTGAACTAATGATTCATTATTTTAATATTTCATAAAAAACTAGGCTACTCCCCCGGAAGCTTCCGCCACCTCACATTAGTTTAGGCATGGCTAGCAATAGGTAGCAGAAACATATTTCTGACTATTTCGAGGTAAGAAATGGTTTTTATTCCCCTATACTGCCGCATTTAGCGTTATTTATTTCTTATTTATTTCTATATGCTGTGCCTATTCATCTTAGTCCTGTGGCTGAAGAAGTCTACGCTAGAATAAGGCTGCATATCACTAAATATTATGTCTGTATTAAGCTATTTAGTGATAAAATATGAAATTAGTAAATTTTTTTTTGTGTGTGTGTGTTTTTTGTTTCAGATATGAAATCATTCCCCA